TCTTGAATTCTTGGTTTGGTAATTATCAAAATTTAGCAGTTCTCAAGATACATATTGACCTTAGTTTTCTTTTGAACATTGTTCATTTGTCATATCAACAAACTGTGGGGTTTGCCTCATCAAAATACAATATTTACTTTATATTTATTAAGTTCATATTATTAATTATCACTTTCAGCATATTAAACGTGTGGGCTTTTAAGGCAACATTGCTACCTTAAAGAGTTTACAATCTAAGACTTCCTCCAGCAATAGGGGCTGTGTAGTTACTTAAATGGGATTCCTAATGGGCATAAGGGTTTGTTCACATAGCTCAAATTGCAAGATCAGGACTTTCCAATGAAACAGAGCAAGGAAGACTATGCTTAAATGGCAGAAGGGAGGGAAAAGAACATTTGGCAGTTTATAGGTTAACCTTAGACGTGTCTTAAAGGTTGCTATTTTATTTTTATTCATCTTAGGTTTTAAAAATCTGCATCATAAAATAATTGATTTTTTTAAATTCCGATTTCTATTTCTAATTCCACAGCTTTGATATGTTAATTTCTTTTTCCACGTGAAGTATTAAAAATGGAAATAATCATCCCGTTTGTCATCTGAAATCATGGAAATCATCCACCCTAGTGAAATGAATATTAACTACCTTTTTCATGAATAGTGAACTGTATCAGGTCCTTATGGAAACATGTGTGTCCTATATCGATGTTGCTGAATTAGCATGACAATCAGACCATTTTATTCTTCCCCCTTATTTCTAGGTCCTCCTGGTCCCCCAGGAATAGTGATAGTTGAGGAAATTACAGAAACGACGGCAACGCTCTCCTGGAGTCCTGGGGCAGACAACCATAGCCCCATCTCCTTATACAATTTACAAGCACGTAGTCCATTTTCACTTGGCTGGCAGACTGTAAAAACAGGTAAGAAAAAGATTTTAAATATAATAAGAGTAAACTGAGTTCAAAATTCATGGTTCAAGAGAATAGGAACCACCCACACCAGTTGGAGTGGATGACGATGAAAAAGATTTTAAAAATTATATTAGAGAGCTGCACCCCCTGCTCACTATGCTTACCAGCCAACCTCTCTCCAATGGCTTTCATGGCCAGAGAGAATGAGAGCTATGCTTGCCAACCCCCACTCCCTTCGGGTAGGTCTCTGGCCAGGGGGTAGGGTGCAGGAGCAGGATGGAAGGGTGTCTGGCCAGGAGGAAGGGGGCAGGAGTAGGCTGGGGTTAGGTGTCTAGCCAGGGGGGAGTGTGCAAGAGCAGGGGAGGGAGAAGAAGCAGGTTGGAGGTAGGTGTCTGGCTAGGAGGGAGGGTTCAGGAGTGGGCTGGGGGTGCAGAGTCTTAGTGGAAGGGGCTAGTGAGGGGACTGGGGAAGGAGGATTTGGTGGTAGGACATGTGAGGGGGCTGGGGTGCAAGGTCTCAGCAGGGTGGTGAGTGAGGGGCTGGGGGCGTAAGGCCTCGGCTTGAGGAGGTATGAGTGAGTAGACTGGGGTGCAGGTCTCAGTGGAGGGAGTGTGTGAGGGGGCTGGGGATGCAGGGTCTCGCCAGGGTGGTGAGTGAGGGGTTAGGGGTATGGGGTCTCAGCAAGGCAGTGTTTGAGGGGGCTGGGGGTGCAGAGTCTTGGCAGAGGGGTTGTATGAGGGGGCTGGAGGTATGGGGTCTTGCCAAGGTGGTGACTGAGGGGGCTGGGAGTGTGGGGTCTCAGCAGAGTGGTGAGTGAGTAGGCTGGGAGTGCAGGGTCTCAGTGGAGGGAATGAATGAGGGGCTTGGGTGGCAGATCTTGGCAGAGGGTATGGGGGTGTAGGGGTCGCTGTTCCCCAGCTGGGGGAGGAGGAAGGGAAGTGGCAACACGAAGGGAGCCTGTGGCCTTTCTCCCTCCCCCCGCAGGAAGCTTGTGCTGGTGCTCCAATCTCATCCTCCCACCTCCGTGAGGTCAAAGCACCAGTGCCAGCTTCCTGCAGGGCTGGGGAGAAAGCCCCAAGGATCGCTGTGTGCTGCTGCTTCCATTCCCCCTCCCCAGGCTGAGGGAATATCAATGCAGGGATGTGCTTCAAAGAGGCTTTTCCCGCTGCTCAGCAGGGCAGTGAGTGAGGGGACTCAGGGCTGAGAGCTCAGCATGGGGGGGGGCGAGACTGGAGTGCCACTGCAGGCTCCCTGCTGCAGGAGGAGTGTGGGTGCTGAGCTGGAGCTGGTCAGTGAGGGGGCTGGATGGAGGGGCAGGAGCAAAGAAGCTGCCAGCAGAGTGAGTGAGGAGCTCACTACACCCCGCCACTAGATCATGCTGCTCACGGGGCTCCCTCCACTTTGGCTTTGCCTGTGATGGAAGTGGGTGGTGCACAAAGAGCCCTTTGTGATGCTGCCACAGCACTGCACCCAGGTCTTTTCCATGGTGCACCCACTGATAGCACGGGCTGCAGCCTGGTGGGTTTCCCCTATTCTCTGCAGCACTCTGAGCTCCCTCGGCTCCCCCAAAAGCAAGGCACCTCACACTCCAGCCAGTGCTCACTGTAATGGGTCATCCTGAACTGAGCCAGGGACTTTCCTCACCACCACCTTCTCCCCAGCATCACATCACTGGGAGAAATCTCTCTCACTTTTGCATAAACCCCACCCACCCACCAGCAGAGATGATGATGTCATTTTGTTGTTCTGAAGGGAAAAAATGTGTGCATGTAAATATATATATATATATAGAGAGAGAGAGAGGCCATCTTCATAAGTCCAAGATACGTTCCAAAAACCTTGGACTTATAGCAAAACAACTTAAAGCGTGGAATTTTATTACCACGGCTGACTTCCATTTGCACAAATTTTTTTTGCACAACTTAAGAGTCTGGAATGGAAGGATTTATAATGCATCAGTTCCTACAAGCATTAATGACTTTAGTGCGGAATGGATTTATAATACAGCGACTTATAGCAGGGACACCCTGTATATAGAGAAAAAAATTATAAAACAAGTTAAAAAATGTATAAGATCCAAATTTAAAAATTGCAGTGCCACTGAACAACATGCCTGCAAATGTGATGGACTCTGCTGTAGCTGTGGCTAAAGAAAAAATTTCGGTCTCCAGATATTTAATCATCCATCTCTAAGAAGCACAAATAACCTGATAGGGTATGTCTACACAACAAAGTTATTTTGAAATAACAGCCGTTATTCCATCTACACAGCCATTCCATTATTTCAAAATTAAATTGAAATAGTGTAGGGCTTATTTCGAAATTGGTAAACCTCATTCCAAGAGGAATAACACCAATTTTGAAATTGCTATTTTGAAGTAAGTGCTGTGTAGAAATTATTTTGAAATAGGGGGCGTCTAGCCTTCCCAGTCTGGCCTCAACCAAGAACACTTCTCTCCCTCCCCGCTCCCCGGAACCCTTAAAGGGGTAGACTCTGACCACAGTGCCTGTGCCAGCTCCAAGGCTGCCAGCCCAGAGCCAGCAGTCACTGCCCCTAACCCAGTGGCCCCAAAATATGAGCCCACAAGCCACTGGCAGCCAGCCCTCCACCGCTTTCTAAGAGCACTCTGCTAGCTCCCAGGAGCCTGCCAGGACCTGGAGAAGGCGAGCACCTTCCTGGTCCAGGGTGGAGATCATGGACCTTATTTGAGTTTGGGGAAGATGCCCCCAAAGTCCATGCTCTGCACGCTAGATGGAGGAACACAGCCATCTATCGCAGGATAGATGCCAGCCTGGCCACCAAAGGCCACATGTGAACCCAGGAATAGGTTCTCATGAAAATCAAGTTGGTCCGATGAGACCTCCAATTCTGAGCCCTGAGCTTCCCTTTACCCTTCTTCCTTTTGCTTCCCCCTTCCAGCTCTCTCCTCCCAGGTTTCCCTCTCCCTCTCCCATCCTCTCTCTTCCCCTCTCCCTCCTCCTTTCCCCAGTCTCACCAGAGTTTCATTCCCCCCCCCCAGTTTTGTTAAATAAAGAGAGTTTGTGCTAATGAAAATACATGTATTTTGTTTTACATCAGGAAGGCAGGTTAAGAAGGGATAAGTGGAAGGACATGAGAGAGGAATGAGGCACAAGCCCCTAGTGTAGCAGACCAGGGAGGCTCTGAGGGCTCCTCAGGGTGGAAGCTCTCCCACAGGGCCTCCTGGATACTGACAGCACCCCGATGGACCTCCCAGATGGCAGCCTGCAGAAAGTGCAGCCAGGCTCGCAGCAACGTGTCCAAGAGAAGCACCAGAGTGTCCAGGGGCAGCTCTGGCTCCATGTTGTAGAGTGCTGAGATGTCCCAAGTGAGAGCAACCAGAGCGCGCAAAGACACAAATGCTTTGCTGTCCCTCATTGAGGTAGGCAAGCAAGCAGGGAAACCTGAGAACCAGCTGTCTGGGGGGAGGAGGGGAGGGTCCCTTTAAGCACAGGCCTCAGATAGCAGCCATAGCATGGACACGCTATTTTGAAATAGCAAAAAGCTATTTCGAAATGCATTTTGTGGGTAGATGCGTTATTTTGAAATAAGCTATTTCAAAATAACTAATTCAAAATTAGATATTTCAAAATAACGCTGGAGTGTAGACATACCCATTTACTAAAACTGATGAGGTATTGAGCCATTTGATGCTTATTTCCTCAAGTGATTGTAAAATTCAGTTCCACATGCAACTAGCACATCACACATGAGTTTCAGGTAAGTTAATGATTTACACAATTTCTTTGTTCTCTACAGTTCCAGAGAATATAAGTGGTGATATGGAATCTGCTGTGGCAGTAGAACTGAACCCATGGGTGGAATATGAATTCAGAGTCGTAGCAACCAACAAAATTGGGACTGGGGATCCAAGTGCACCATCTCGAGTGATCAGAACCAGTGAAGCAGGTAGGAACTTTGAAAGTCCTAAGTTTTTATTCTGCAGGAACTATCAAGAGCAAGGAAATGTTAAATAACTAGTATCATTCAGTAGCGTGTTGCAGACATCTCTGTGTTCTGTTACCACTAACCAACCATGGTATTTTTCCCAGTGAGAAAACTTGTTAATTTTTTAAAAAGTCCTTTTTAGTTTGGGAAAAATTCGATAAAATGTCCAACCCTCTCTTGGGCCAGGTTTACACTATGGAATAATAAATTCATTTTAAGATACACAACTATGAGCATTGCATAGCAGGAGTTGACATCCACATCCCCCACTGCAGGAGGTCAACAGAAGAAACTCTCCTGTCAACTTCCCTTACTCCTCAGGACCCCATAGAGTACCAGGCTTGATGAGGATGACATCAGAGTTCAGTTTAGTGACTTCTTACTAGACCTCTAAATCGAGCCTTGGAAGATCGATCTCCATGATGTGGATCTTCCTGTAAATTAAGCCATGCACTAGGTCCTCTGCTTTCTACTGCTCACTCTAGTTTACAGCTGCAAACCCTTCTTGATTCTCTCCCAGGAGACTTTGTTGGTTCACCCATCATTCTACCGCAGATTCTTACATTCCCATTATTCATTCCTTATCCCAGGACTTTCTGTCACATCATCTTCCCTCCCTCCTGCTCCGTCTTTTCTCCACTATACATCCTTCACATAAGTTCCATTGTTTTGAAAGTTCACCTTAGTCCTACTAGTCATGTACTGTGCTTGCTGGATCCTCAGACTGCTGCTGCATTCTAATCCAGTGCATTCTGGGTATTTCTTGTATCCCACAGTAAATTGTGTGTGTGCCTCTGAGGAAGATCCCAAACATTCCTGGTTGTGGCATGCAACGTCAATAAGCCAAAGTTGAAATAAATGGAGAATTTGTCATTTAGTACACGTGTTAAAGACAGCATGGTGAACCAAAAAAATCTGTTGCTATTGCCTCCGTTTTGAGAATCTTCTCTTTGGCAAACAAACAGTATCCAGATAATCAGTACATTATTCTGACCACTTGGAAATGTGAATAAATTCCCCAAATTCTGAGAGCTTAAGAGCAATATACAGAGAGACTAGGGAACATGAGAGAAGCTTATTTTGAACTATTTAAAGGGAAAGGAGAAATCCAGAGAGAGAACACGTGTTTAGGGAGAAGAGTGGGAGGCAGAGATGGAGCTGGGATTAAGCATCCAAGTGGATCTCAACTTTTGAACCTTTGAGGCTTTTACTTGTCACTTTTTACATCACTTCTGGTTGTTTTGCTTTCCATTCAATGATTTGCAAGCAGACTGATAATCACTTATGCTGTGTCCACACAGCAGCATTATTTCAGAATAACTGACATTATTCCGAAGTAACATAGTCTACATCTACATAGCAAGTAGGTACTTTGACATAATGTTGAAATAATGTTGAGCTTGAGGACTTCACTCCAACTCCATAGGGTAGTTCTGTTTTCAAGCTTAAATAAAAGCAGCCATACTTTTATAACCCATGTCTGCTGGGAGTGGGGTGCTGTCCAACACAAATGGCATCTAGATTACACAGGGACTGTGTCTACACTGGCATGAATTTCCGGAACTGCTTAAAACAGAATACTATTACGTTTTCAGTTTTTCCAGAAAAGGAGCGTCTACATTGGCAGGCTGCTGTTGCGGAAAAGCCCTTTTTCCAGAAAAGCGTCTGTGGCCAATGTAGACGCGCTTTTCCGGAAAAGAGCCCCAATCGCCATTTTCGCGATCGGGGCTTTTTTCCAGAAAAGACTACTGGGATGTCTACACTGGCCCTTTTATGGAACAGTGTTCCGGAATAAGGACTTATGCCCGAGCAGGAACAGAATAGTTTTTCCGGAATAGCGGCTGATTTTGACAGTAGAGCATCGTTGCTTTTCCAGAAATTCAAGGGCCAGTGTAGACAGCTCGCAGCTTATTCTGGAAAAGCGGCTGATTTTCCGGAATAAGTGGCCCAGTCTAGACACAGCCATTGAGTGATGAATTTGCAATAGCCTTGGCTAAGAAGACATGGGCTTTTAGCTCATATAGTAGAGGGTTATGCAGTAGGTTTCAGAGATCCTAGGTTCAAGTCCTGTCTACAAGCAAGGTTTTGGTTGCATTATAGTTTTACCATTTTTACATATGTGTACCTTGAATAAGTTGACTAAAGTTATTCACCTTCTGTTCTATTATCTATCTTTTTCCTGGGCGGGAATTATAAGGATTGCAAGTGATAATGGACCATCTGTATTCATAGTTCTGGAATAAAAAGTGTCAGCCTTTGAACTTTGTTAATTGTGTGCATCAGAGTCATAGTTCACTGGTTTGTGTTCTCATAGAATCATAGACTTTAATGTCAGAAGGGGCCATCATGATCATTTAGTTTGATCTCCTGCACATTGCAGGCTGCAGAACCTCACCCACTCTCCCTTGCAATAGAAACCACACACATTTAAAGCCATTTTTAAAACAGTCATGATATATGCAATTAGAGTGATGTTTATATATGCTATTTCCAGTCATAATAAAGTATATTTTATTTTTTTCTCTTTTAAATAGGCACATTGTGGTTTACATTGGGGGAGAGATAGCTCAGTGGTTTGAGCATTGGCCTGCTAAACGCAGGGTTATGAGCTCAATCCTTGAGGCGGTCATTTGGGGCAAAAATTCATCAGGGATGGTACTTGGTCCTGCTGTGTAGATAGGGGACTGGACTCAATGACCTCTCAAGGTCCTTTCCAGTTCTAGGAGATAGGCAATCTCCATTAATTTATTTAAAAAATAGGTTTCACTGTACAGTCATGGAACTGCATGTAGGTTGATAGATTTTCATTCCTTCCTGCCAGAGGATGCATTTTATCAGACTTCTGTGCCTTGTGCACTTTGTTTTAGTCACACATCTCTCTCTCTCTCTCTCTCTCTGTCAATCTGTCTCATTTTTTTGTTTTTTTAAGCATGAGTTCCATATACTTCATACTTTGCTCCATTACAGTCCAAAGGGAGAGAAGGAAAACAATATAAAAAATACATAATCTACTCTCATTTAAAATAGCGTTTGGAAAAGCTTTTATCATCAACCTTATGCTTTCTATAGTTTTGTACCAGATGTAGGGCTGGTATTACTAACTCAGTTGAACCGAAATGTTCTAACTACTTCTCTGGTTAGGCAGGTGATGCAAATCAGAGAGGACACAGACATTCTGAGAGAAGCTTATTTCAGGTGATAGGTTGCATCCAAGAGCTTATGTTCTCTCAGATTTATGAATGCATGTCCTGTGTTTTAAAGGACAGTTCTGTGTTTTAATAGACCATATGTATTTTAGGCTGTGAAGGAGTATTTTTCACACCATCTGGGTTTTGAAAATTTAATGCTGTAGTTTACAGTCATGCTGTGCATGAGGGGGGCTTTTATTTCATTTATTTTTTGTTGTTTGCCAGACAAAAGTTGCATTTTTAATTCATTTCTCTATGAACCCAATAATAACTTCTCCCAGTCTCCACAATTTTTTTCTTTGGATAATTGTGGTTTTAGCTGTAATATTTCAATCAATAATACATAGCAAGTAGGAGTGGAAGAATAGTGGAACTGGTTTGACACATGTATAGTATATGTTGTGTCCCTAGCTAGCGGTGCCCATAAATCATGAACTCCTACGACTGCTTCTTTAACTCAGATGGGAGAGGTGTGTGGTTAAGTGCTGAAATACCCAGGATCAAACTATGCTGCAGGGAAATACATTTTCTGTTGAATGAAGACAACAATGTGTGACAAATGAACTAAAACAGCATCATTCTACGTGACTTTTTAGTATCTTCTCACCTCCAGTTTGATGCTCTTTTTTCCCCCTGTAACATTTTTAACTTCAGAATTGATCGAGTTTAAATGTGTGTTTCAGAGTAGGGCGTGTTAAATCCCATACAAATGTCAATAAATCAACCTACAGTGTGTGAATATGCTGAAGTAAAGGAAGAATTTCTCATTCAATGAATGTGTTAAAGATCCATGGAAGCAGAGCTGACAACCTCTATGGGCCCCTGGCCAAGGTAGTGGTGGGGGTGACTCTATGCACCTTGAAGAGGTGGAGCCAAGTGTGGAAGGAGTGGGGCTGAAAGCAGACAGACCTCAGCATTGCTCAGAATGAGGCTCCTGCCCCCCAGCCCTTAGAGCTGCCTGGAGTGTGAGGCGCTCCAACAGCAATTTAAAGGGCCCAGAGCTCTAGGCACCATCGCTGCTATTATGGCAGTGTCAGTGGACAGAATCCCAGGCCTCTTTGAATCACCAGGTCCCAGGGCAATTGCCCCTTTGCCCATCCCCCATTGGTGGGCCTGTGCCACGGTGAACCAAAAATCATTTGTCATTACCTCTGTTCTCTGTCAGAATCCTCTCCTTAGGGAAAACACTATTCAGTTGTTTCTGTTTGTTGCAGTTTTAAAAAAAAAGAGAAAAGGTGGGGTTTTCTAATTGCAACAGAGGATAGCTTCCCTCTTAGAGAGTATTAACATGTTTACTTCTAATGATAACTTAATGAACTATGCTTATAGGAAATGGACACAGACATCAATAGCAGCAAACTTGCATGTTATACTTAATTGTATATTGTCTCAGGTATCTCAAGCACTTCACAGAAAAATACTGGTCCCTGCCTTCAAAAGCTGACATTCAAATGCCACGGACTTGAAAATGGGCTCTGCATGAAGTCAGAGATCCATGCCAGTAGATCCAGTTGCAGGACTGGGGCTTAAACAATGCATTTGGAGGACAAACATAATACTCTCATAGGAATAGGGTGGAGGAATAGGGTGGAGAAAGATCCAGGTTATGAATATGTGGTCACACACAGTTGATACGTACAGACATCAAAAGGTTTTTGTTGGTTTTACATTAGGTATAGATAGACTGAGAAGTATGAGTAGAGTTTAAGAATTATATGAATGAGCTTGATAAATAAATTCTGGGATGACTTTGAGGAGTGAGCAGCATGGCGG